TATTTTTTTTTTTTCGGAATTTTCAGAAAAGTCCACTTTCATCTCTGATGGTCACACACCGTAAAAGAAACGCGTTTGTGTGATTCAGGGTGGAGGATGCAGTCAGCCTCGTGTCTCTCTTCCACCTGGTTCACCCTCACAGCGAGTCGGCACAGGAAGCTTCCAAACGTCAGGCGGCAAACACCGACCTTCTCAAGGTGAGAACGCTGCCGTCAGGAGCACTCAAGGTTAGGTTCATAGGCAGTACTCATTACTGTGGGAATGCTTTTTCATAGATGGATTTTTCGTTGTTGTTTTTTTTTTCTTTCGCATCAACATTTTCCCACATGCGCCACAAATTGTCAGTGTGCGTTGCAGCAAGTTCCAGTCTCATCAGTTTGAAGTTAATTCCGTGATGAGTTTGGGTTACTTCAAGAAAAGAATTCCAACAATTTTGACTGTGCCGTGTGCACAAAGAAAGGAACATTTTTTTCCACCCCCCCCCACCCCCCCCCCCCCGACCATTTTCATTAGTTTGCTTTTTTAAAATAATTCGGTTGGATCCCAAAAATGAAGTGCCTGATTTTCAGGACTGCAGTTTATTTTACGGAACAATTTATTTAACAATTTGGTGTTTGTGTACATATGCCCATGAAAGTAATAAATAAATATACACCCCTGTCTCAACAGATCTATGCCCAGAAGGAATCCCAGAGGTCTGGCTACATTGAGTTGACCTTGCAGGCATACGAACAGTCTGAGTCGAACAGCGCTGCCGTCTAATCGACCCGTTCCCATTTGGAATTCTGCAAATCAGCAGAGCAAGATAACCGCAGGCTGAAGGTAGCCATCTCATTTGACGGCTATGCAGCGAGCTCTGCCATTGTAGGGGAACGTGTGCTTCATAAATGAACAATTTATGGAGACATAATACATGATGTAATTGTGTTGAGAGTTGTCGTCCTAACCGCTTTGTGTACATAACGGAACAAAATTAAAGTCACTGTAATTAAAAGAAAAATCTCCTTGTACCTCTGGGTAAGTGGAATATCTCATGGCTCAAAAAGTCTCATCTTGTTGTTGTCAGACCATAATCAATTTTTCCACATGCATTTGAAGAGATTTTGAAGTGTGCTTTTGTCAAATTTTTAAACCAAGGTTGAACCTTTATGCCTTAAAGAGGAAGTCAACACCAGCATTTTCTTGTTATCGTATGTTCTATGCATCTTCACAGGTCTAAACACGGCATTCTGATTCATATTGCGTTGGTGGAATATAAATTAAGTTGCAAAATCTTCCCGTTTTTAGTCATCTCATGGGGTGGCCGTTTTGACACTGTCAGCTGAAAATGACATCACAGTTGCTTAGGTAACGACGCAATGAATGGTCGTTACCTGAGCCCTGCTGAACGGTGGAGTATTTTTCATTTGACAGCAAGTGCCAAAATGGCCGCGCACTGAGATGGATGAAAACAGGTGTATTTTACTGCTTAACGCATATTTGACTTAACGCAATATGAATCATAATGCCGTGTTTAGACTTGTGTCATGTCACAAAAATCTGGCATTTGAACAAAAGTGTATTTTGGGTTCTTTGTAATCTGAACTCAAGTACAAAGTAAACACTGAACGTATCGTAATCGCTTGGCTGGCTCAAGTCAATGATGTAACGATTGAGCCAGGTCGGTCGATAAGTTTCTCTCTGCCTAAACTTTGAAACATGTATATGAATTACTGTGTGTGCGCAACATTCCGACCCAAAAACAGCTTTCCTTCTTGGCCTCTAAGCTACACTAAAATAAATAATACAATAACAGTGTAAATGCGAACCTAACAGGAAATCTAAATAATGCACAATGTTTGTGAGTGGGCTGTTTTCGCTCTGATACATATACATACAAAATAAGAGCCAAAGAAAACCTTCTGTTTGGGATATAAAAGCACTGAGCAAAAAGTTCCATTGTCAGTTTATTACTTTCATACATTATAAATAGACTGCATTATGCAACATAGGGCAACGTGAGACCTGAGCTCATCTTACTGGGCCTTCTTAAATACTTGGTGGCAGACTTTGTCCAGCACATGGATTTCCTAAAAGAAAGGACAGACACCTTTAGACCAACAATATAAGATATTGCAACATTTCTCTTACATAACCTGTCCGATATTTTATCTGTAATCATCTGTTAATACAGCATCTTTTTATTGTTATTGCCTCAGACAGTGTAATGTAAGTGTGTGCACGGAGAGATTCCATTAAGTGAATTGGGCACTAAACATGTTTTATCTTGCTCTCTTTTTTTTTTTTTTTTTTTGGAGTTCTCTGAATAATGAAGTTGGCCGTGATAACGTGTTCGTATTGTTTTTCTGTCAAATGGATTATGACGTTGCTCCTTTCGCACCAGATGTAGAAGATCTCCCTCAATCCAGTGTTTCCAACCACGATTTTCCTTTTCCCCCTTCTGAACACACACCAGTTTGTCCCCGTCCCAGTTGACCAGGGTCTGCGACGTTGCAAAAAGAACAAATGGAAACATCCATGAATGTGATCGGCTGTTACAGTGATCCCTCACTTATCGACTGTGAGCACATGTTCAGGAGTTTCCTTTAAAGCAGGTGTGTCAAACTCATTTTTGTCGCGGGCCACATTGTAGTTACGGTTTCCCTTGGAGGGCCGTTATGAGTTTTGGGAAACCATATAAATGTTTAATCCCCTCCACATACTGTATTACATACACAGCGCACAACAAATTGATGAATAACTAGTTTTAAAATCAGAAGTCAAGAATAATGACTTTTATTGTGGATTACATATGACAGTTTGAAATTTTGGTTCAGGCTTTAGCAAGCATATTGGAACTTGACATGCATGATTTGCTTCCGCCGGCCACGTACAATGATGTGGCGGGCCAGATCTGGCCCCCAGGCCTTGACTTTGACACCTGTGCTTTAAAGTTTGAAAATGAAAAAAAAGCATCACGGCGACCTGTTTAAAATTCAGTCAGCTGTTCTTACCATGACTTTTCGGTTGTCAAGACCCTTTGTCTGCTCCTCAAACTCCACTCCAACGGTAAAGTTGACCTCATAGTTTCTGAAGGTGCTCAACGTCTTGGTTTCAAACTTGTCTCCATTCTGAACGAAGACTTTTGTCTGATGCAGATGGGAAGCGATCTTTCTGGTGGCAAAGTCGATATCTGCGTGCATGGATGACGGAAGATCGAATGTCACTTTGTTGTCCTCTTTTCGGGATGCACATTTCATACTTCAATGTGTGGACTGAACACACGCCGCACACCCGCTTTGATTCCTACGTATGCTTTGAAATCTTAATCAAAATGCAAAAACATTCCATGGGATAGTTGAGCCCAAGTACTTGGAAATTCACAGTTTGAAAAATTGGACACGTTTTAGAGTAATTAATGACTATTAATGAAAAAGAAGTGTGGCGGGGTAAGATATAATAACATAATCACCTTGTTTGATTAGCAGACCAGCAAGCATATTAATAATTGCGTGAGCCTTAGTATGAGTACAATTCATCGAAGGTAATTCCATGGAGGAGCCATGTTCTATTGGCCACGATAATTCTCGAAGACGCGTGTCACTAATTTGGTGCCCTCGGGCACCAGGTAGATCCCCTCCCAAGAATCACATGAGGAGCCCATGGGCCTGTTCTAAAAATATCTCACCAGCAATGAGACATTTTTCTCGGAAGGTTGGAGAAGAAAAATGTAAATGACATGTTTCTTTGCCAGATCGATGTCTTCTTGTCCTTCCACGATGATTAAAAAGTTGACCCATATTTAATTGCCACCCAATGAAGAAAGTGGGGAACGGTCTTTCCTGACTCTTCCACTCATTGCGTGACACTAAAACTCTTTTACTCAACACTCCAACTTTATAAGGCTGTATTCCTAAACGTTAATACCAGTGGGTGTTTTTAATACCCCCCGTGAATGGCTTCTTCTTTGCCAATCACCACGTTGAGGAAATGACAATAGCAACTTACCGAGGGCTTTCATGACCTCCTCAAAATTTTCATTGCTCACCATCTCCCACCGTCCATTGTAGTCTGCAGGCATGTTGAGCGTTCGTGTATTTGGGTGTGTGTCGAGGTCGTGGTTGCTTCTTGAGACGGTTGTTGTGCAGAGAGAGAGAATTATCCACTTCAAACCTTTTTATAGACACTGTGTGCATGTGTGTGTTTGTACCAAAGGACAGGGTCCGCCTGATAATTTTCCTTGAGTCATTAAAGGTTCATTGCGATATAAAGGTCAGGTGCTCCGTGAACACTATTTCACCACAGAACCGTGACTACATGTAGCGCAATCTCCACTGAAGTGTGTGTGTCAGTCAGTATGCTTTCACGTTCATTCATGATTCAACATTGTAATTCACACTCCACTCCATCCGAGTGACCTGGCAGCAGAACCCACTGTACTTATTCCGTTTCAAGTGCCGGATGTAATAAAATATGATTTGACTTTTCAGCACAGTGGCACATCAGACTACACTGCATTTATAGAAATTCTAGCGGTAACTGTGCACCACATGCATTTGTGTAGAGGTTCAGACTTGATGTCCTCTGAAACAGGTGGCAATCATCTCTTTTACAGAATTTTAACGTGGCATATTTTGATACAGACAAGCCTCCCTCCCCTCTAAAATACTGATGTATCATGTAGTTATCTTTCAGTGATAGCGGTTTGATTTTCTGCTGAGGCAGGTAGTGCGTTGTATCCATTGTCAGATAAGATAGGATAACTGATCCGCAGTTACACGTACACACACCGATAATAACTGAGATGAGAATTTAAAAACGACCTTATTTCCCCTCTGCAACGACAAAGGTCATCAGGACACACCCTGTGAAGAAAGAATACCAAAACTGTAGCGTTGCTCACTCTTGGTTTTTTTTTTTTCCCTCTGAGATTTTTTTAATAGATTTTTTAATAGATTTTTTTCAACCCGTTTTCGATTAATTTTAGTAGCATGAGATAATTACCAGTAGATTGTTCACACGAACAGGCCAAAAACTATACCCGTTAGCCAGATGGCCAAACAAAGCTGAACTCTACGGACCCTATGCATTTAAATATGGCTTTATTTTTTTTTTCTTCAGATTAGAGTACAGGTAGAGTCTATTGAAAATTAGCAGGAATGACCAGTATAGGATTTAAATGGATTGGATTTCTTTTTTTAACTATAACATCCTCTCTCTATTTATGTACTACACAAATTAATTCCCTTGTCTGTGGAAAGGGCTTATTATCGTGCCCTCATCTGTTCGCTGTGGTCCCTTAATTTGATGCCTTAATACATTTATTAATCCACCAATCCATCCATTATTATCTGCTTATCTTAGATTGGGTCACAAGGGTAGTAGCTTTAGCAGAAAAGCTCAAGATATCCCCAGACCAGCCGGGGGACACAGTCTCTCCAGCGTCACCTGGGTCGTCCCCTGGGGCATCCTCGTGATGGGACTTTCCCAGAACCAGTCATCAGGTAGGTGTCCAGCAGTCATCCAAACCAGATTTCAGGGCCACTTTATCTAGCTCCTCTTTAAGCATTGTCTCCTCCCTGGATGACAGAGCTTCTCACCATATCTCTAAGGTAGAGCAGGTTGCCACGGTGACACATGTCCAGGCAGAGGGAAATTATCTTCCAAAACAGGTTCATCATAGGCGGTTTCAAATACGTGCTTTGTTTGGTCCCTCACCTACAGCAGGACCTATTTGCAAGAGGGGAAGGTCAGATCATGGGGGCAGCAGCTTCAGCAGGGAAACCCAGACTTCCCTCTCCCTAGCCACTTCATTCATCTCCTTCTGAGGGATCCCAAAGCCAGCCGGTAGCCATAGTCTCTCCAGCATGTCCTGGATCGTCCTCAGGACTCCTACCAGTGGGACATGCCCGGAACACCTCACCACAGAGGCGTCCATATGGCATCCTAACAAGATGCCCGAGCCACCTCATCCTCTCAATGCAGAGGATCAGCGACTCGACTCTTCGAGTCGCTGATCGGAGCGAATCCCACTTGG